TATGGGTATACAACCTTATAGGCCATTTGAAAATCTTCCTGGTGTACATGGTGGTTATCAACGTGTACTCAACTCACTCAAGAATTCACGTGAGTCTTTAGCACCTCATAATGATGTATCAGACTCAAAAAATATACAAAATAATGATTATCAGTCGTCATCAGCTCGACTGAATCGTCACAATAGCAATCACTCCTTTTGTAAAAGTAATCGATATTAAAAAGAATATATACCATTCAATTTTGAGTTGCATTTTATATACTACAGTGTTTAGAAGTTGAAAAATGTATATATATGTAAATTATGCTGCTCACATTTTAACAGCACTCACTCTATATATACATGTCCATTGATATCTCTGACTTTGATTTTATTTATTTTTCTGTAAATTAATAAATTCACCTAATTGTTAATATCCATTTGAAAGTGTCATGCATGTCAATTGTTATTAAACATTTGAGTATCATCTTCCAGTCTTCTATCTTATATATTTGTCATTAAAATTTGAATACAACTGGTATGTTATTATTGATGCATATACTTTTTACAGAGAAAAAAAAATCGAAAACTCATTCATAAAATATCTGACCGGTGGATACATTTACACATCTGTTTGGAAGGAATGAAAAGCTTTTATTCTCGAATGCGTTGTATTTGTCCACCAGAGATCTCAGTACTTGTGCTTGTGCCACAGGATATCAATTTGCTGTTCAGGTTGTGAAGAAGTCGATATATTGATAGGCTACCCTCTTAAATGGATTGTTACTCAACGTACTTTTCAAACATTGAGTGCAAACGTTTCTCCACGCGTTTCGGTTTGGCTAGTTTCATTAGATGCCGCACAAATTTGTAGCTTAAAGTCGACTACACTAACCTGTTACTGGCTAAAATGATTTTAAAATGTAACCAAGCCCTTGAGATTTCAGTTTTTCTACAAGTTCGGTGGTCATTTGTCATTAGACAAATCTTAGCGTGCTTCCTATTTAGATTCGAGAAATTTATTTTGTAGAGTATCTTGACATGCATAAGTTCAACATTACCACATTAGATCGTCTTAAATTTTGGAATCTTATGTAATTCAACAAGGATGAGTAAACTATGAAGATTTGAGAAAGTATTTAGTTAGCTTGTGGATTGAGTGCGCACTAGTGACTTACTCAATGTATCCTTGTTTTCAATTGATCTAGCGTATATCAGTCCATAATGAAAACTGTTTCTAAAAGTATATAACTAAAAAATAATATGGTTTTGAACATTTAAGGCAACATGAGCTAATGAATTGCTGTCGTATGTGTCTGTTTTTCATTTCTTTTAGATTTTTAAACCTTTTTTTACTTTCCACTAAATCTTACCAAATACATTTTGTAGATATTACGATCTTATTTAAATTTTATGGTTTAAGGACACTCGGATTTGATAAAGTCTATATATACTGCACCTCTTGAACAGAGAATTAATTAAGTGCTTTTGAGCAGCTGATAGTAAACTATATTTTACTGAGTTTATTCCCTTATATTCACCTCATAATTGTGGAGATATCTCTTATGATGTTGGTAGTATAATTGGGGTTGTAGTCGTCTTTTCTTCGGCCCATGATTCAAGCAGTTGGCTTGTAACCGACATGTCATTAGTTCGCTCTCTGCTTTAATTACTTATGTTCAAGACAATACATGTGATTTGTCTCATACTCACGAAAGCCTACACACGGTTGATGGACTGTGCTTTATACGTTTCAACATACTTTAACTCACAGACAACTAGATATGTAACCGCTCACGGTTATTTAAATATTCGTGTATTATCTGATTTCATAATTCATCGAAATGTCTGCGTAATAGAGTAGTAACCCACTAACGTATCACATTCTACGTAGAAAGCTTTAGAGTACTTCTGTGGTATAGGGTGAATTCTGAGTAACTTGTCAATATATCTTTTAGTCTGCTCAAATATTTCAGCGAATATATTTTAATGCCACAACTGTGCAGGTAAAAAGTTACTTTTTAAAAGTAATGAAAATCAATTTTGAGATAAACATCATACACTAAAATGTTTTGTGCGCAAGTACTTAGGTTATTTGAACGCCCTTTAGAAAATCCGTAAGAAATATTTTATCTTTTTTGCTGTACAACCTTATTATGTTAATATGCACTTAGTAATACCGTACGTCTGCTCTTTTTCAAAAACTTGAATTATTGTTTGCCTTTTATGTTACCGAGATTGCTTATATGACAGTATTTGGTTATTACAGAAATTCATACTGGCTAAAATACTGTATATCACGTTAACACAGTCTTAATTTATTGTTGACATATTCTGATTTTTATTTCGTTTTTCTGCAGTATATGTGGCATTAGTCTGTAAAGTTATAAGCTATTGATGTGAACCGCCTTGGTAAATTGAGATTTGTTGGTTGGGGTGTACGTGATCAACAGTTGAAGACCTTATGTGGTGTGGTTCATACTCGGTCTCAGTGGTATGGGCGGATTTATGGCTTATCTCCCTCTAAAGCTTAAGTTTTATTATTATCTCATCCTCTTTGACTCGGAAAACGTTTGAGCTGTAACTGAGTTTTAATGATCGGTTAACTCTGTTTCAACCTATAACCTCAACAAAATATTTGCATCCTTTTTCAATAGTCACTTGGTTTAGCTGTTTTTATTCATTTATAGGACTTTGTTACTTCGAATAAATCAACTTAGGTTTTTTTTCATGCATATTTGTTGAACTCATGTTACCTCCCGCAGCATTACTTCTAACCATTCTTTAAGATAATCCACATAAGTTCTGACGTTCAGATTGTATAACCATTAACTTGGCAGATCATTCTCTAAATATACAGAGCAACTTATACTGAGTTTTTTTTATAAAAGGGATTTTCATTGAGTTACTTTTACCCTAGGATACTCACCATACCTTGCAGTATTGAAGAGAATTTGTGTTTATCCGTTAATAATAGGCCCTTAAAACAATAAAGAAGTTAAAAACTTCCATTATAAAAATATGGTACTAGATTGTAGTGGTAATATAAAGGCAGTTCATGTGACTGTCTTGAGTTTTACTATTCGCATTAGTAGATGCTTTTCGGCGGATGTATGGAGGATTAGGCTTTTCAAAACTTCATAATTAATGACCAGGGGTTTAGGAATCTGCAAATTTATTTATGTAGTATAGGGTCTCTGTAACACTTCCATGCCATTTAAGCGGCTTTTATGTTTCACACTTACGATTAAAATAAAATAGAATTAATTTCAAGATGGAGAAATCAGTAATTTGTATTGTCGTTGGCTTTACGAGTTGCGTCAGTGTACTATTAAAAATCTGTAAATGAAAATTTCGGCAATACAACTGTAAAGAGAAAGAAGTTAGGATATGTGTATTTACTTTTCTTTGGTTCTCCCATCTTTTACCAATAAATAATCACACATGGAATCATAGAGACAAGTTAAATTTATTGAACTCATGACTCATAGTTGATATCTTACACGTACTTTCTATGCTACACGTTAGGAATCGAACAAAAAATTACTTACTAAAAATATCAGTTTCCCTGATTTTTCAGTTTGATTGTTGTCTATTTCTTAAATGAACTCAAGATTTTAATGGTTTTAGAACTTGTAGTCTCTATGTCTGGAAAATAATTGGAGCAGTCTGTTTATTCGGCTGGTTGATTTTTAGCTGTGTAATCGATTTATTTATTTTTATTTTAACACATAGGTTTTGGTACACGGAGGCACCAAATACATATGCGCCACACGAATCTCAATCGATTTGTGTGAGGGCTGTGATACTGCTCGGGTGCCCAAACCGGAGCAGGTGGTTTTCTTAGGATGCCACACCCCGAGCCTTCGACCTAAAGGTCTAACCCACAAGGCAGTGGGGCATCGTAAAGAGATGCAGTCCCATGGTAGCCGGTGACCAACGATTGGTTCATACGCCATTTGTTCCTTCAGGATACTGGAGCCCATGTGCACCATTGATTTGGTATCCGGTTAAAGCGCCGGACATTCGCTTTTCATCCTCTCATTTTCGTAAACAACACCCCCGCCACGAGAAGGCAGTGAGTAGGACTTCCCTGGCAGAGGCTGTATACGTGTGGCCATGTGAAAGCATTTCGAGAGGGAGAGCGGACTCTCCCCACTCTCGGCCGTACCAGGGCATTTGGGGGCAGCTGTGTAATCAGTTTAGTCGGACTATTTTTCATATGTCGTATCATAGAACTCGAATATTGAATCAGACGTAAATCTCCGTTATCTGTAAGCTAAATATTTTGACAGTAGATAAATGTCTCTGTGATAGTAATATAAAAGTTAGTAATGGTGATCCGCTTAATAAACAATTTGTGAATGTTTATAGGGTTTGAAGATAGTTTGCATCGCAGACTAATATTATTTGGGAAACCAATTGAACGATGAAGATAATGTAGATGCGTATCAATGATGGATAACGGTCGCACCCTACCACGAACTGTATGAAGTTAGAAAGTGTGAACTACATAATTCTTAACAGTATCAGGCTAGCTGCACAGCCTGAAGGTTTTTATGCTCTTTTACTGAGTCGCGTGTATGAATTGATATAGAGTCCTGTAAACTAAGCTGAAAATAGTCTTCATTTACACTTACCGATTTAATTGTAAATAGTGTGTAGGGGAATTTCTATCGAAGCTATCCACTCCGTGTAACGTATTTCAATTATCTCCATCTGTTTCGACATAGTCAACATAAAAATAAGTATATTAAAATGAGTTATACACAGTTTTTTCCGTATATATCGAGCATCGTAAACGCAGACTAGTATTCACTAAATAAAAGTTGATTCTCTAATGTAGTTTCTGTATAATTTTGTTTTCTATTCTAAGAAGTAACTGCATCATGATTTCTTCAAAAAGCAAGCATTCCAAAAGAAAATCAAATTGCATCCAATTAACTGAAAAAGAAATTAACGATTTCATCGCACACAGTGATGATGAAGAGACTGATGGTAGTGAAAGTGATTGGGATGATATGGGTGAAACTGATTTGTCGACTGTGCTTTCAAGTTCAACGACTATTATGAAGAGTAGTACTGGTAGCCAGTTATCCAATGAGATAGCTTCATCATCTAGTCACAAAATAACTTGTAGTGCTATCAAAGGTAGGTTTATTTTATTTGTTTAAACTAATATTTGAATAACACACATACGAGTAGTGCTACCTGACTAGATAATATATATTATGGAAATAAAGCTATTTTATTATATCGGATTGATTGTATTGGTCTGCCGAATTTTCATGCTCCAGTCGTATACAACAAGGACTAATATTGGATGGTGATGGAACTATTTATCTGTTGGTTAAACGTTACACTTTCAAGCAGTAGATTATGCGTTCAAGTCCTGCTTTACTTACTAAAATTCGAACTGTTGAATTTTGTCTTTACCTTTCAATTAATAAATTTACTTTACAGCATAATGCATTTAATGAATTAGATTATCATGATTACTATTATTATTACTACCTTAAATCCATAGTTTATTGTAAACTGTCATATGTTTTCTACCGATTGTACTGATTAACTTGTCGTGAAAACATCTTTTTTACTTGATTCAAGTTATATTTTGTCCTTTAAGAAAAAACGCCTATAAAGATAAATTAGATCCATTTTTAAATGACCAGTCATCCATCAAAGAATTGTGTCATTCTATAATCTATCAAGTGAAGATGCTATAGAGTTAGTTTCGTTGTCACGGTTTACTTAGTTTAACATTGAATGATAAGTTAGTGTATGTATAATTCAGTACAGTTGAGAGCATATCATTAAAGTTATGTAGCAGAGAAATAGAACTGCTATCTGATTTTATGGTAATACATGTTTTTTACATGTTTATGAGTTTCTTGTATTTGACGTGGTTTTTAAAAAAAACAGTTTAATGAAGTAGATTTTTCCTAACTGTTACTCGACTCTAACTAAATATCATTTATAACCCTTATGTATTTGGAATCGTTTATTCAGGCTAAATTATGTGGTACTTCCGCATTGTTCTCTAAAAAAGCACTTAACACATTTAGATTTTCAAATATCAACTTCAGATTTAGTCTCTTGCTGATGTTGTCAGGTTTATATGTTTTTACAAATTTCTTCACTTAAATTAGATATTGGTGTCAACGAGTTGTTTGGCTCGGTACCTTCCAACGTGTTATTGAATGATAAAGAAATCAATCCAAATATGCATGAACTGTTCGGTGAGGCTAATTTAAGTGATGATAGTAATAGTGGTGATTTTGATATCAATCAATTGCAGGGGATCGAAGACGGTTAGTCGTTTTGCAAATATTAATTCATAGCACTATTATTTTCTGTAAAGAATTTTGATTTAAAATGATATCCATTAGAAAACCATTATTTGTTTAACTTTGGTTCCTTTCAGGAAGAAAGTCAAGACCAGTTGAATTATGTTAACAACACCCTCCTCTCGTCCATCAGCTTAAAACTTTGATGCCCGTGCATTTCGAAAGTAGCTCGTTGTTTACTAACTGTCGGATCGACTAACAATTAGTGAAGCGGTGGCCTAGTGGTTATGACGTTCGACTTCTGGCCGCTACTTCCTAGTACCGGACTCCATTCCAACCACTTCAGTTTAGGCAACCGGGTACTATCGTTAGCCGTCATACTTACTGTGTCTCACTCAGTTAACCTGACAAATGAGTTCATCGAACTTTAAAAAGGTTTCTGGAAATGGCTTAAATGTATCAAGAAGCGAATTCCTGAAGGCTGTTCAACTGAGATATGACTTATATAGTTATGGTACTATCTAAATATGTTTCACTCCACAACCGTATCGTAAACTAATGGGTCTTGGTGACCAATAATCTATCTTCCTATTTAACTATTTTTATAATGCCTCCAGATATTAGTAAACATTATGACCGATAGCTCAACCGAAGTGCCCGTTTTCATCAGTAGAATGTTTTCTAAACCTCATAGTGGTATACTTTGCTTAACTTTTGTACCATAACTAGTGTTCTTTTAGCATGAAAAATTGAGAAAACTTACCAAGAGTATTTGTCACTAAAATTAACTCAAATTCATGTCATTTAGTCTATCAGCAACTATTTGGGCAAGGGGATCATAGAAGTACGCTTCTGAAGTTACTTTTAATCCTATAAACTGCGTACTTTTAAAATACTAAAATGGTAATATACATCATTTTCAAAAGTCAGTTCATTTTGTAATAAATCAAGTCCGCTTATTATTCTATACATTTACTCCAGTCTTCTTTTATTGCCTAAATAGATGAGAATGATCGTGAACTTTCAGAGAATGGAGCTAGTATTCAAAAAAGTTTATCAATTAAACAACATTTAGAAAAAGATAAATTAATTGAACGTCATGTTAATAACATAATTCAACTAGATGAAGAGGTAACAAAAAGAAATTCTACATCATCGTCTACTTTCAACGAAAATAATAATAATAATTCAGTTAGTATTGCTTTGGCAGCCTGTGCCTTACGACGTCAAAAAGCAAGTGAGTTTTAAATGATATTATTTCCTTGTTGAATTTCTAATTACGTTTTGTTTTCTAATGTTTAATATATGACCATGTTTTTTCATGGAGTCTATCTTGTAAATATAACTAAATTGCATACATCAGCCATTCAACAGATAATGATTTGTTTATTTTATTTATTTAAACGTATAAACATTGGTACAAGGACGTACCAAACAGATATGCGCTACATAAATCATCCGATTTTTATGAGGGCTGGGATACTGCCCGGGTTCCCAAACCGAAGCAGGTGGTTTTCTTACGGGGTCACACCCCAAGCCTTTGACCTAAAAGTCTGATCCACAAGGCAGTAGAGCGACATGAGGAGGAGATACAGTCCCATGGTAGCCGGTGACCAACAATAGGTTCATACGCCATTTGTTTCCTTAAGATCCTGGAGCCCATGTGCCCCACTGATATGGGGCCAAGGTTTTCCAACTCCCCTAGATGGACTCTCCTTATCCACCAACCCGGTTAAAGCACCGGACATGAAATGATCAACAAACAATAAATTTCTGTCTTTTATTTCTATATGTATTGTTAATTGTAAATTTCAATTGTTTAACCTAATAAAAAGCTGTAGTATACCATTAATTCATTTTAATTTATAAATTAGTTTGTCCTTGTCTTGCTCAATATTGTCCCGAAAATTGGATGTATAATTCTTAAGAATTATTCATCAAGGTGTATAATTAAAAAAACGATTCCATTTTATATTGTTTTAATTACTCACAGCTTACAATCATTTTAAAGGGATTATTTTATATTGTTCTGTCATAGGACAAAGAAACTGGACTGTACTTACATTTACTTTTAACAAGGACTAAGTTTACCAGATTTTTTTCCTTCTGTATTTCTTTTCCCAATGATTTTGTTCCTTTTATAGTTAGTTATCTTGTAATATACTATTTATTCACTTGATAATAACCAATGATTTTGATCTACTCAATTATGTTGGTTGAAAGTGGTTAATAAAATTGTACAGTATTAACATCAATTAAATAAATGGATATGGCTTTACATAGTTTTCGATATTAAGTAAATTAGTAGGCATAGATATATCGACTCAGGTTTTCGACTTACTGAACTTTATAAGTATGGATTTATTCTTATACTCCTACTGACATTAAGAAGTAGTGTGTAACATTTTTTGTTGTATATTCATGAGTTTGTGTAACAGATGAGCTTCTGAAAAGAAATCGGTTGCTGTTCAACAAATTCAGTTGTATTATTTTTGGTACACGGTGTGTTTCCAAAACAGCTTGAGTTTCTTCAACTATGCTTCGCTTATAAGTTCCAGTTAGTATAAAGTCAAGTTATTAAAATTATTAAGTCAGTTAACCATTTAGTGTTTTTTTAAATACACCAGCTAAATTCATTTCGTATTATTTGTTTGGATCTTCCCATTGATATTTATGATTGCAATTGACCAATTTCTTAAGTATCAAAGGGAAAATTCAAACGAACAGTACAATATGAAATTTAAAGCAGTTAGTCCCTTTGATAAATTTCGATAATGTAATAAGACGAAGATTATCAGAACTATGTGATACATTAGCGCAATACATTTCGAACAATTTGATCACACATATACTTGTTAAGAACATTTATATATAAAAATAAAAGGTCAACTAGACTGGAAATGGGGTAAACCGTATTTGTGTATCCAAAAACAGTTTGTTCTCACCTTAAACCTACCCTGGTAATATTGAATTATTAACCAGAGTGATTAGGCTTCAAATTATGTTCACTTTTATTATTATCCTTGTCTCCTCTTACCCCATTTCCAGTCTAGTTGACCTTTTATTTTTATATATAACTGTTCTTAACAAGTATATATGTGATCAGATTATTCGAAATATATTGTCCTAATATATCACATAGTTCTGATACAATATGAATTTAAATTTCTCGTCATTGCACAAGCTAATAGCTATCGGGACTTAGAAGCTAAGTGGATAACGTGATGGTGTTTGAGGCGAACGGTACTGGGTTCGAGTCCTGGGGTGAACATCAAAATCCTGAATATTGTACTTGATGGAATTTGGACTAGAAAGTTGTATTTCTCCAGTATATTAGTAATTTAATACAACTACCTAATAACTTCAATATGATTTCTTGGAATGATTCTCGCTTAGTGTTATTTTACTGATTACATTATAGTCAATCATGCTGTTGATATTATCTATATGTAATTCATATGGTCTATATGCCATTCTTTAGATATTTATCATTGTTCACCCAAATGATCTTTTTTATGTGCGCTATACTAATAATTCACTACTTTAACTTCAATCCTATGAATGAAGCTACTTATATTGTATTATTTTTCTTGCCCCCAATAACCTGAAGTTAAAATACCAGTTCAGTAGATTGTACTTTTAATGTCGACCTAGTATAAAAGCTAATCAAGATGCATTAATTTTATGACATACCAATAAAAAAATAATTAGAATATTTTGCACTGAGTATTTGTCATTGACATAAACAATTGTATAAATGTATTGAAGTTCCATGAATTGTTCTCGTATAGAATGATTTACTGAAACAGAATTCCAACCTATTCGATGTTGATTTGCTTTTCATAAGATTGCACATCAACAGTTTTGTTGTGCTTTTGTATGATTTTCAACAACTGTCTTGACAATTACATCTCTTTCGTGTCGTTTACTATTAGTGTATTTCAGTTATGAGCTGTTATATGCTAAGATAACAGTGATATTTTTCTACTAAATTCTTGCATATGTGTACTTTATTACATAATCATGGTATTTATTGTAAAGCTTATTAACCTATTCACTCAACATATTTTTGTTTGTTTTTATAGTCTCTGCACTGAACAATTCTTCATTTACTCCTAATCCTGTCGTTTCAATTAAATCCACTGCTATAACACCTGTTTCAAGTAGTACCGAACAGTCAACTTCAGTTGATAAAGATTGTTGGATTGCAATCCCTACAAAACTTAGAGTTTAGTAAGTTGTTATTGGTTTTTTTGCTTTTTTTTCCAGTAACTGCTTAAGTAATGGTTGTCAATACTAGGTAAATATATCAGTCACACATATCGGTTTATTTCTTTGAACTTGAAACTGTTAGTCATTGAAACTGATTTCCAGTGCTTTTGATACTATTTATTTATTTGAACACATAAACATTAATACAATACAAATGGGCACCAAGGTATATATGGGCCACACAATGAAAATGAGGTTGTGAAGAGTTAGGGAAAGGAAAGTATGATAAAAAAAAACGAGTCGAAATTAGTGAATAAGAATAAAAAACTATGATAATAATATTAATAATGAGAGAAGCAGTTTGGTTAAGAAAAATACAACTAGAAAGGATTCTTTTAGTTAAAGAAGCTCCTTACACACTTATGAGGGAAGTAAAAGAAGGTTACAGCATTACTGTCGCTGGCCTGTATTTTGAGTCATGTCTGATAACTTCTCGAGCCATTGTGTTGCACTATCTCTGGCAACCCGACTAGGGAGTCGTGAAGGACCAATAGATGCTAGTCCTGTATAGCCTTCTCTCATACCACAACACCATGTCATACATTGATCACCTCTCCGTGTTTTCTAAACAGCCTCAGGGTTGGCAAATGATACATGATATGAAATTCGTTAGGATAACACTATGTTACTTCTGAATCGTCGAAGTGATTTCAATCGAAGTTTCAAAACAGAAGTAAACGATTACCCTATATTTGTTTCGTTTGATGATCACATTGGAATGTAATCATTTCCAAATTTTCTAGTTTCATTTTATTACAGCACTGACTTTCTTACTTAAAAAGCATCACGTGAATTTAGTAATATTATAGTCGACTTCTAATTCTAATAATAAAATTTTTTTTATTCTGAGACAAATTATTATTATATAAATTAACAATGATACTTGTTTGTTTGTGTACTGGTCTCTAAGTCATATGTTTATGTTTGTGAAAACTAATGACGTTAATTAGTTGTTAGAAGTCAAATGCTTTAACCATTTTGCCTTGACGAGATATTGAAAAGCTATAACCAATAAGTGTAATTATTACATCATTTGTTTTGTGAATTAACAGAAGACAATACAATATCTTCAGTCTCAACCCTGGGTTTTCTGTTGACTACTTCCAATCACTATCTTATCTCAACATAGTGGCCACATTGCGACTTGGCCTATATGATTCGATCTGCACTAAGAAGGACCTGATATACAAGACCTTGATCACCACCCAGTGATCAATCAATTGTAAAAGATGAAAATCAACATTTTTTGTTTCTTATTGATATCAAAAAATGTTCATTTTACAAACTAGCATATGTAATAGTTAATTTCTCTTCGACTGATTTATCTATACACAATATATTTCTTTTCATTTGTACACTAACAAATTAACCAAGTATAGTAACATTTTATGGTTTGAATACTGTTTGACATAACAAGTGACATCTTACAAGTGTTTTCGATCTTGTAGAAAAGTGTTTATTTTTATAATAATTTTCACAAGTTATTGAATTTTTTTATTTGAACATTACATATGCTGAAATTAGCAGAAGCTTAATTCCGCTTCCGTTCAGATTTAAAATAATCATACATTGTCAATACAGTTAGGAACACTGATTTATTTGCTGATGATTGCACAATTAATAGGCTATTACTTATGTTGATGAAATGTGTTTCGAATATTCATTGACTATGTGTTTAACTTTGTGTAATCTCATTTTAGTCGGCCACGAATTTCCTCTGAACTTTGGTCCAGCAGAACTTCTGATCGTGAGGTTCTCACTCTACCCCAATATATTCAACGACATCGTACTCACCAATCTGTCAGTAACGCTAAAAAGTCTTTTACCAGTGAAGCCGTCGTGGTTGGCGTCATTGGATCCAAATTGCCTCCACGTCGCTCTCGTAATGACCGCATTTATTCTGTCTGGTGTTTAAGTGACTTGGAAAATATTGGTCCTGGCTCTTCATCAGGGTGCTTGAAACTGTTTTTATTTGGTAGCTGTCATGAGAAATTGTGGAAAGAGCCTGAAGGTAGTGTGGTTGCTATTCTAAATCCTCGCTCACTTACCTCTGGGGAAGTAAGTGCTTATTCTAAGTGAATGGTTTTTGTAAGAACAGTGTCTTTTAATTATTATTCCAGTGCACTCGATAACCACGATTGGTTGTTGGAGATTTTGGATGATGTGACTCGAATCGTGTTGGGACATGCTGATTGTCTCTTTCTTAACCAACTAGCGCTAGGGGAGACTTGGAGAAGACTTTAGATTCTTCTTAAGCAAATATTGTTAATATATTGACATTTTTCTTATTGTGATTCCTACTTCCATCCACCCTTGTCTATTAGTGGTCAGTGATCTAGCGGTTCAATGTTCGCGCGCGAGACTGAAGATCTTGGATTTGTGTCCTGTGCGCGGTATCGTGCATGGGCGCTGCTAAGGAGTCCCATACTAGGAAAAAACGGCCATCCAGTGCTTCCAGATTTCCATTGTTGATCTAGCTTAGGTCGACTTGTGATTGCAACTCTGAAAATACTACAATCTCCACAAATCCTCATAGTTAAAATAAATTGTTTTTTGTGTTTGGATAATTAAAGATAAAATTTGTTAATTGTCTTTGACAATAATTTTAATTAATTGAATAGATCCTGACAAATATCTTACAGCATCCCAGTACAAACTGTATTTTATTATCAACAAAATTATTCTATAGAAAAGTTATCTCACATAAGCAAAAAGCATTCAATTTGACCTCTATTTACGAGTTTAATGAACATTTTGGTTGGTGTATTTAAGACAATATCACTCACTAATCACCTGAACAATAAATCAAATACTCTTAGTGAACTACAATTTTAACGAAGGAATGAGATGCTCTTGAAACATTTCATATTTTGTTACTTGTTACTCGTCACTACTCCATATATGTTAAGTAGTAAGCATTTGGATTACGATGATTTTTAGGAGAAATGTCATAGCTCGTGTTCATTCTCGAAAATTACGTAGATATTTCAATTAAATTTAGAGCTTATAATTATCATACAAAATAAAATCAAAGATAGTCGGTAAGACTATAATTTATGGACGAACCAATCAGATTTACGATAACAGGTCTTGAATTTTGGCGCAAAATTTATTCATTCTTTTGGCATTATAGCTGATGTCAGTTCATGATGAAAACCTTAATTTTAATTCCTAACCCTAATTATCAACTTTAAATATTATTCCTAATTTCTCACACTGGTTTTTAACCCTCAGTTAACCGTATTATGTAGGTGGACATTCTAAAAATAAACTGTTTATAACAAAGTTCCTAAACTTACACATATCACAGTTGTTTTTAAAAGTAGTAGAAAATAATATAGATAATTATTGAAACTAAGCAATAATCTCAGTTCGTGTATTCACAGTTAATTTATAAATACGGATGTACGGTGAAGAATTTTAAATTAATAAGCAGAATAACTACATACATTTACAAGAAAGAACAGTTCAATATCTTGATTTATTGAGCTTGTTTTCCCGCCTTTTCTTATAAATTAACCTTAATCATTAAGTAATTCAATTGTTAACTCAGTAAATAAACAATTGGTATCTGAATCCGTTTATTACAGATTAGAATACCTTTTCATATACTTCACTTTAATCAACAATATACAATCATTAGTTCTCAAACATCGGTTTGGGCACCCGGGCAGTATCACAGCCCTCACACAAATGAATTGAGATTCGTGTGGCGCATATGTACTTGGTGCCTCCCTGTACCTATACTTATGTGTTAAAATAAATAAAAAATAAATCTCAAACATCGTAACATTTTTTTTGTAGAACTCAAGTATATTCATCTATGTACACATGTTCATTAAATTACATCGAATATAAGTTGACCATTGTATTAATATCAACTGTTTAATCTCTTTTTTTTCTACAATTAACATTTCCAATTTAGTCATTTACGGATGATAAAGATGTTAGTATTACATTGGAATCACCATTACATGCTATGATTTTAGGTGAATCACCTGATTATGGAGTTTGTAATGCAACAACAAAATCTGGTCAATCATGTTTTCATGTTATCAATAAGTAAATGGATTGTTCTTTTCTTTATTTTTTTTTCTGTTTAACGTTTAATTAATTATTAATAATAATAATAACACCGGAAACGTATAGTTGTTTCATATGAATGTTTAAACTTTGTGATTTCCTGTCAAGATTAGATTTAATGGTTACTTAGTAATAAAATAGTGATATATTTGTAAATAGAAATTTGAATTTCTCATGTTTCGTAACTTAGTTTAAACCGCCTCATCAAACTAAATAATTAAATATTCTTTATTTAAAATCCCATTTTTTTTAAAGTGGAATATTACAAATATACCATTATTTTATTATCAAATTACTACGGAAGGTTCAATTTATTTGAAATTAAGTGCTTCTCATTAGTTGATATATTTTGTATTCAACTATTTTAAGATACAGCGTTATGTGTGAACGTTTAAATTCAATTGCTACTTGATTTTTTTTACACAGTTCATTCCAAATTTATTAGATCTACCATTATATGTCAAGAGTTATTAGTAAGTTTTAAAATATCAACCGAAGTAGTAAAGTCCTGAAGACCATCAGCTGTGATGTTAATTTCAATTTTTGTACTGATTAGTCAGTAATTGTAAATGTGTGATCTTGAGTTCTGTTAAAGGTTGTCATTTCTTAGTTGCCTACACCATTCTCTAACCAACTTACCTAACATAGTAGGATCTAAAACAACAAATTTTCCGGCTAATTTAGATCATTTGGGTTCTCATGTAGATAAGGTTGACCACCGTGTTAAGATAGCAGCTGTGGTTGGGGACTAACTATCATGTACCAAAAAAATAAATTCAGATGTTTATTTAAAAGTTACTAATTTTTCATGAATTTAGTACTGATGGTTCTCTTAATATTTCATGTATTCTGTGTTTTTTTTCTGTATCTTTAGAAGCATTTGTCGCTTCTGTGATTTTCATGTGAAAAAAGCTTATATAGAGGCAAGTACATCTCGTCCAGGATTTGTAAGTGCAAGGTAATAAAACTTCATTTTGTTGTAATTTCTTTATGGAAATAACACTGTAACTTCAACTTTCTAATGTCATACATTGTATATATAACTACAGTTTAATGGTTTGATGTATTTTGTTACTTTAATTCTCACTTTTGTTAGCAAGATTTAAACACTTACATCATAATACGATAACGCAGTTCATATCTCTGTTGATTCTTAAATAGTAAACTGGTAGCAATAAAACCTAATGACATCATATTGCCAGAAAGTCCTTTCTTAATTGAAACTGTAGATTTTCATATTCAAACTACCTTCTACCCCTGGTTTAGTTAGATACCCATAACAATTAACTTTTGTACTAAATGAAATCTGCTTCAAGACTAAACGTAGGTTTAGACTTACATCAAACTAAGTTACGTTCATAGAATAAACTGTAAACTCTGTTTAATGACTTTTAGTGTATCTTCAGTTGTAACAAGTTATTTAATTTTAAATGCATTTCTATTGTATTGGTTGATATCATTTTGTAATTAACAAGAATTGGCAATCAATGCCAAATTTAATAAAACAATCCTGAATAGTTCCATTGATATCTAACTGAATTACCTTTAGCTCAAATTCCATTCCTCTGGAGGTCTTTATCAAAAAAGGCTTCACACAAACTTAGACGTCTTATTCTATTCATTTAGATTTCTAAGCTTCACACAAATAAATGTATTTCTAATAACTGGCATATATTATTTTCATAATATGTAAAATCTCTTGAAAACATATTTAGCTTTTTTTAATGCTGATGCCTTCAGTTTTTTTAAAGTTCGTTAGGTTATATACCATTTTTCGTTCTAGACATCTCTTTTCATTATTTTTTTCACAATAGTTTACCAGGATTCGGTGGACAACAACGAAAATCACGATACACTGGTGATCGTCCCCCAGACACACCTGAACCAGGTGTATTTACACTTCCCATAAATACAAATTTCTCGGTTGATAACTGCTACAAACCTGTTGTGTACGTGGTAGGATGAAATTTATGATACATAAAATTGTTGATTTTTATATTTTCCAAAATTTGAGAAATGTGTTATTTCAGTTAGTCAGACAGTCAGCAACAACGTAGAGCTTCGTACTCACGTACATCAGTTCGAATTTCCATACCACATTTGCACACATATACAATTGTCGATTCAAATTCCATAATAGTAGAGATAGTAAAAGTATAAGCAGTCATCGGAAACATTAGGGTTTGAAGATGTTATTCAAGGAGTATAATCCAGTGAAATAAATTTGGGAAGAGAAAAAAGGACATGAGGAATTCAGAAGATTAGAATTTGAGAGAACGCAAAGAGTGGATGCACCTGCGCCATCGCAAACGATTTTGAGCCATATCATTCAGGGTCTTTAATCATCGTTTGTGCTATCATCTCGCGGATTGTAACCAAATAGTCTACACCTACCAACATGGCTAGGTCCACTTGTCAGTGACTTCATGGATTTTTGCCATGTTTTGGTCTGTCCGCCTCTAACTTTTTTCCAACCTACTCCTATACTATTGTACATCGCACGTCGAGGCAGTTTGTGGTTGGGCATACGTATTGCATTGTGATCTGTTACATTTGCTGTTATTTTGCTTCAGTAAAGTGTTTTTTCAAGACAATTTCATTTCTGTTCTATTTAATTTTTTTAATTTTATTATCTCTGTTATGTTCACTTCCCACATTTTATTTCTGTAAACGGGATAACATATTCATGGGAAATAAATAGTATGCGGAAATTTAAAAGTTTCATTGTAAATGTATATTAATCAAAAACAACAGAAATCAGATCTACATTAGCAATGTTAAATGACTGTTGAGAATCGACAACAAGTGCGCTAATTTTTAGTCTCGTGATTGTTAACAATTATCATGTAAACATCCTTCCCAGTTTGATTCTTGTTTGTCAGTTAATTTGGTTGTTAGATTTTATGCTTAATCAGTTGAATGCAATCAGCACTATTGACTAACAATAAGTAACATTGGCTACTGACCGGTGACTTATTGATTATAAATATTAAATAAAGTATATAGGAACCCCAAATTGTGTGTAGATTTATGTAATTATGATAGTGTAGTCACTGGCCACTAAAACACAAACTGTGAATTGAAAAGTACAATTTTAGGTAAGTTTTTATTATAGATTGTGATCATTTACGAAATTATTAAAAACCAAGATTTACTAAACGACTGTATTATCTTAATGCAAGACATCAGTACACACGCTATCTCTCTATTCGCTGTATCATGCTATCGATTTCCACAACTTTTATTTCAATATTAATCATCCACTAATGAACTTCAAGAAGAGTTCCTGAAATTCTGAGGATAATAGTTAAAAACTGAGTATTCCGTACAAAATACTAAATCAAGGAACTGGATAGTTATATCATCATGGTCTAGAACTCCTCACTTGTTTCAATGTAACATATTACCACTAAATCTCTAAGTGTTTTCTTTTTTAAACCTAACATTATTATTGTTGTTTCATTCAGTTGAATGATGCATATTTTTATAATTTCCCGTCTCTCCATATTGTTTTCTGTTTTTTGGATTAGATCTTCAGCCAAAGTTAAACTGAGTCTGACCAAATTAAAAGCGGCTGGTTATCAAGTAAATGCATCTATTGGATTAGGTAAAAATCCAGAAATAACTAAAACATCTCAAGGATCATCATCATCCCAATCCTCTTCATCAGCGGATAATAATCAAAACTCAAATTTATCTGACAAGGATATCCCATTAATTACAGGAAAGGATTCTCCAATTACTATTAATCAGAGTAGTAAGAAGGTAAACAAAGAAAACTCAGAAAAAAACATTCCAAATCACAATGATCAAGTAAAAACTGAACTTAATGAAGCAGAAAACAAACTCGTATCTGTACTACGTCGACCATCTGCTGGTTCTTTAAATTTATTAAGACATTTAGAACAAGAAAGTGAAAATGACACTGTCTCCGCTATATCCAAAACTGCTACTAAACGATTCGTGAATAAGTCAAATTCTGAAAAACCTCTAAACAGTTCTCAAGAATCAAGCTCACGTCTAAATTCACCATCTCCTGTAACGTTTGCTGAATTTTTCTCCAATATTAATGTAAAACACAAGCATTCTGTATCGACACGACCTACCAATATCAAACCTAGTCTGAGTAATAAATCAGAACAATTTATTGATTTGGGTCCTGTACCGTTGACGACTAGTTCTCAAACAACTTTGTCACAATCTGTATCGTCATCATCATTCATAACAGATGCAGCACGTTTGCGTGCTACAGCTTTAGTTAATGCTCAAGGAGGTGTGAATAAAATGATCGAAAAGGAAACTTTGAAACGGAAAGCAAATATTCCGAAGGTATCATCTTGTTCAAAAGTATCGTAAGTATTTTTTTCCTACTTTTTTCGTCGGTTGAATAGGATTTAGTAAATCGTACATAAAAAAGCGAGTTTGCTTAAATCAATCACCAAATTATAAAAAATAAAGGGGTTTTGTGGATATTATAGTAATTTAATAGTTGAATTCATGAGTCAATTAAAGCTAGACTACCATGGAAAACCTGGGAGCACTGGATGGCCGTCTCGTCCTACTATGGGACTCCTCAGCAGTGTTCATCCACAATCCCGCCCGCGGATTCAGACCCAGGACCTGTCGGTCTTGCGCGCAATCATTTAACTTCATTTGATTTTTTCTGTCTCTCAGTCCGACCTTAAAGTGTTTTTTTCACCAAAAAAACTCGTCATTTAGGGATTTTGTGAGAAAACCGGTTACACAAAGTTCATAGATGTTCCTCTTTTATGAATACTCATCGAACAAAGAGTTAGAAAGTATATTCTTCCTGTCTACTTGTTTTGAGTACTTAATAAAACATGATTGTGGGTACATGCTTAATGTTATAACGTGTGATCCGCCTATTAGAGAGCAGCGTATTATCGATCGGATCAAGGACGCGTAAAACACGTGCGATCAGCCTAAAGTTCTGATTGGCCCTGCTTCCCTGTCTAGCCCAGCCAGTTGAGTCCAGAGCACAAGTCTCAGCCTCGGTGATATGAATCATTATATTTCAAACATACTCTGTTTATATAGCAATCAAACACTTAAGTATGTAATACCAACACTATTGAATTTTAATATTTTTCTCATGTTTCAATAAAAATGATTAGTTATATATTTTTTATTCTATGTCTAGCCTTCATACAATTTCAGCTAAAGATGTTTTATGGTTGTTTACTTCATTTTATTCATAAAAGTATTATTATCTAGAATCCGTAATCTAATCGTTTGGACATTCATAAAATCAAATATGTTCAACTGGATATATTGAGATACTATTGATTAGTATTAGAGCCGTTGAATAATTTTTACTCGAACTTAACACCTTAGGATTTCGTGGTGTGTATGCCGCCTTTAAACTATTAATTTATCACCTACTGATCCACATTTCTCATCTTCAATGACTTTATGAACCAATGCAACTCTTATTCAGTGTCATTTGTGAAATTTAATTTTAGATTTGTTAAACTTTATTTATCACGATCCCCTACTAGGGATGATTGAAATAATAAAATTCTATCTTTCACCTTATACATTAAGTTTTCCTATACATCTACTTTTATACAGGGTTTTATCTGAAATTCTCGATAATAATCCTTCAAAACGTGCAAAACTCACTTCCTCTTCATCTTTATTGGATGTAACAACTAATCAACATTCAAAGGATGAAACAACTCGAAAATTATTAAAAGAAAATCGTGCAAAAAAATTAACTGAATTAGCTAAACAAATTAATAAAGGTTCAGCGCATAAAAATCTAGTTGATGTACTTGAAAATCAAACTGAACAAATTCGTTTGAATAATTTAGAAAAACGTGATGAATTTGAACAGAAACTTGTAAATCAAGATAAAGAAGCATGTACATATGTAATATGTGAAACGGTAAACATTATTGAATATTTTTTTATCAATGCAACTTAAATTTACCAGGTATAAGTTTATGTATTCGTCTTTTGACTACATATTTTTAGTTCGAAAACTATTAATACCGTCTGAACTGCCCAAAGTGAACTAGGTGGGATCGAACCTGTAATCTAATTATTTAAAGTCAAATACTGTAACCACCATAATCCCACGCCTAGGATTGTAAGCGTTTTTTATACTTCAGTGGAAAATATGGATTATGTCAATGATCTGAAGTTTTGGGCTTGCGTGGTAGATCGTTTGGTGCTAAATTCTTATATATATTTGTGTTTGTTGTTCCCCCTATTTCTTCCGTAATTTACTTAATCCATTCCAATGTGATGTGAAAACATTCCGTGTTAGTTGTCACATCAAATTAAATTTATCCTCAGTTGACTTGCGAATTCCCTTGTACGGTCGAGAGGGAGGGCGGTCCGGTCTCCCTTCCAAAATACTCTCATATGATCACGCAATATAACCGCTGTTAAGGTAGTCCTACCAACTGACTTTCCGTGGAGGGGGTGTTGCTTGCGTATTTAAGAGAACGACAAGCGAATGTCTGGTGGTTGGACCCGGTAGGTGGGTAAAGATGAGAATTCTCCCTGGTACTCAGTATATGACTTTTACCGATCTCTTAATTGCTATTTTTTAGTAATCTAGCCAATAAGTTACCATGAGTTTTATAGTTTAAACATTTATTCTAAGAGCCTGATTTCTGCTTTCTGATTGGCTCAAAAATTTACCACAACACTCAACATGTAGCAATAATAAACACCATAAAACCACAATTAGATTTTTCCAATCGTCTTTAATTTTCTGTCAATTATCGCGAAGTTCTACCAATCTAATTTTTTGTTTAGTCGATAAAAGTTGAGTTTCTGTCAAACTCCAGTCAACTTATAACTTTCTACTTCCCAGACATAACTAAACTATTTAGTTTAACAGTGTAAAAGTTATGCTCCGTAAGATTGCCATCATTATTCTACATTTTGTTTACTTACTGGATTCTATCATCATATTTATAGAGTTTTTACTTCCTCATTTAATTTTGTTAAACATAATTTGTGAAATACATACATGTTTTAAGTATCCCTAGCCGGTGCCTACCTCTAAGGACGATGTTTATTGGTGTAGCAGCAGGTAGTAAGAAATCAGATAGCCGCCATGTCAAAATGTAGTGTCAGTTCGTCATTATCAGTTAGATGGGGTTATGTTAGGTACAGACTGCATGATTGAGATCCTAGCGATTATCGTAACTAACGTTTAGAGACTTCGGGTAGTGTGGCTCATATTCAGTCGCAAGCGTACAGGTTTATTCATTCTTTGTATTCTCATAGGTTTTGAGTTTAAAAATTATCTTATACTTTTTTATCCAGCGAACCCATTCTCCTTGAACCATATTATATATACCTACTGCCAGTGGTGTCACTAACTCTACTACTCTGGTTTCTGTCTAAACAGTTTTATCATTCTTTTCCGATGTAGTGTGGTAACTTGAACTGATACACATATGTGCCAGGTTCTACCTTGCGTTTGTCTAAATGGCTAACGTCTAAAATATGAAAAAAGAAATACTCAGGTTGTTTTGGGAGAAAAGTTTTCTGAATTTAAACAAGATAATTTTTAATGCTCATCCTCCTCTACCTACACTGTCATGATGAAAAATACTGTTTAATTACCTACTTCTTCAAGATGCCCTAATATGATTATTCTTTTTTTCTATTTCCAGTGTAATTATCGTGCTCTTAAAACAGCTCCTAACTGTCGCACCAGTAATCATCAAATTAAATATCTAAAGGGTTTTAAACATTATTTTCGCTGTCGTCAGTGTTCAAAACGGACTGTATCATTAGACCGTTATCCTTCAAAACCATGCGAGTGAGTTACGACAGATATTGCTGTGGTTATTGTTCCTTTGTGTGTATGATGAAAATTTATAAAATCTTCCATGTATAGTCAATCTTTCTAGATTGTTTATGTGAATTACTCAGCATCTACTCCAATCAAACATCATATAACCTTAACCTGTTAGTTTGCTCATGCTTGATCAAAACTGTTTCGTATGTTTGTGTACATTTCACGATATAAACAATGAAAATTGTTTTATATGACTGATATTTTATTTATAGTGCACAGCACTCACAGAACAGTTACTTCAGTGCAAGCAATTCATTCCATTTGATACTAGGTTTTGGATCAACATTCACTTTTCTCTGTTGAGGGTGTTATGTTCTATTAGCTAGATGGTTAAATTGCGAAGCTTGCATTCACACCTCCAGCTCCTACTTCATGTAGAAGTGAATTTTTCCAATTATTCCATAAATGTTATGTCACTTCGTTCCAGTGACCTTGCTGGCGTTTGGCTGTTCTCATGGCTATTATTGTCTTTGTTTGTTCTTTTACTTACGTTGGGCGTTTGTATCGGTTAGCCTCTGACTTTGTATTTGATTGACCTCTTCCATATAAGTTCAAAAATTGGTTCTATATCTGTATGGCTATTGATCGCTAATTAATCTGAGTTCTACGCTTCTAGAAATTCTCTGACGTTCTTAGAGTTTTCCTTATCCGTAATTTCGACGTTTATTCTATCCAATTTATGTCTACAGTTATCTGCACACATTGATATCTGTGATATTATTATCATGTCACCTCTCCAATGGATTAAGTTCATTGACGATTCAGTGTTCATTGCTAACCATTTTGAATTTTTTTGTTTTACAATTTTTACTTTTGTTTGTACCCACCAGTCAATTATTTCAGTCGTCTCTCGTACTTTGAAAAAATCTATTTTCGTAGTCATTTATGAAGTATAATTTTTTTACTTAATATTGCAACACCACGCAGTCACTCATAAGCAACGTAAAACCTGACACATATGCATCGTCGATTTAAGATGCCACATCATATCGGTACAACGAGATGATATTATCAAACAAACACTAAACTAGTAGAATGCAATAAATTCATCAGTGTTAGTAAAAAACAGTAGTCATCAATAATATTATTCAAAAAGAAAGAACAAATTCGCGGAATACAGATTGTCAGATAACTTTAAAACTCAAGATCTAAGCGACGACAAAGAGGGAATGTATTTACGCCATTACAATCCATTCCGAGCCATGTCTTCAACTACATGTTGAGAAAATCACGTGGATGCCAACCAGGTATTGTAAACCTTTTTCGATGAGGTCTCTTACGAATATTCACATCGAATGAAAGCTTAATATAATCACTAATAGGAATAACATATCTGTACAAAAATTAAATTTTTAAATTTCTTGACGTTTCTTCACTTGCTGTAAGCCATATTTTCAGAGAATATAATCATTCCAATTAGGTGATTAATCATTCAGAAAAATGGCAAATATCACAAAGTTTGTATGTATGTATGTATGTATGTATAAACTAGTCACCAGTTACACTCCTAAATCTTGGAATTTACACAATTTTGAAATTAGTTATGATAATTTATATACTTTTGATATAACAGTTTTATTATACTAGTGATCCACATTTAGTCTGGAATAGATCGTTTATACAAGTATTATTCAAAGCAGTAACACCTGAGAAATAATGAATTAGAGGAATTGAGGGACTCTTTATCAAATAATCTTAACTATTTCTTCAACCGTAATATGCAGTGGATATCTTTTCCAGTTTACTATTTGAAGTAATAATATGCTTTTCAGTATGGAATAAAAGTATTCATAGACACTTTTCATTTCTAATCATTTCTCCCACTTCCTTATAATTATGAATAGGATACTGTTTATTTAGGCAACATAGTTCTTTGTTAAAACAATATAATTGCTCTTACTTCAAATATGTTAGATTCCACTATTTGATATAAGCCTAATTAAGAAAATATTTGTAGTATTAAGTAGCGAAATATATGAAAATAAAACTCCATGAATGTCAGACATTTATCCACCACAGGCAACAGATGAGGAGTTGCACAAGATGATGGATCGATTGAAGTTATACATAAGCAGTGTGGGACGCTGGTCCAGTGGTTTAGAGGTTAGGTGTTCGCACTCGAAACCGTAGGGATCGTAGATGAGCATCTCTGAGGAGTCCCATAATAAGATAAAATGGCCAATCAGTGCTTCCAGGTTTTCAATAGTTGTCTAACATTAATCATTTCAACTGTGAAAATACTACAACCTCCACAAATCCTCTATATTAATAACATTCATTACTAACCTTCAAGTTTTCTCATCTTATTTCCCAATCTTATCTGAAAGAATATGCTTCTATATATATGCACCAAACATTATATGACCACATTGCTTACATTTTTATGAAATTTTTATTTCGTTTAGGCATTGTGGTGAATCTTTGTTTGAAAAAACTGGAATAATGAAGGTAAGCAATTATTTAAAAATATATATTCAACATGTTTTCTGTTACTAATCAGCTATTATTCACTTTATAGCTATTAGACTATTTCAAGACATTACGGTAAAAGTACTTTTCACTAACGAGCTTCATGGTATCTTAAACTTACCTTGGCAGAGCGAAGTCGATTTGAACCAGTCAAAATGCAGGTGACATACGTGAATTATACATTACATGCAAATTCGTCTTCACCTCGTGACTCTGCGCCCTTTCTGGATTTCATTCGATGATCACGATCATACATAATAGCGTTTCCTAACAATCTTATGTTTCGTATATGCTATAGTATAACATCATTATTAAAATTGGCAATTTAGCTATCTATAGTCAACATTGTGGTTCAAATTCATTCGCTTTGACATTGAAGCCACGACCTGATATCTGATTGATTCGTCTATAGAATATTTTTTAGCAATAGGTCTTTCCTCTTTTTGTGATAGGTTATATTAATTTAGAAACTTTTTAAATATTGCATTAATTATAGCGAGTTTGTGCTACACAATATTATTTAATTCTACCGTATCAAATCATAATCATATTCAAGTCAAACATTTGCACAAAATCAAAAGATGTTTTACCATGCCATTCAATAATTCATGTGTATAATTTTTATGGAATCTTAATGTTTTCAAGTCTTCCAACTATATGATACACAACTTCCTGTAAAATGTTCCAGGTAAAATGATATATTTAAAGGAATTTACAGTTGAATATTCTGAAGGATAAGTAGGTCACAAACAGATTTAAAATTTCAAACCAGAACTAAATGATAAATATTATTGGCTTAAATGACCCTCTATTCTACTGATATAATATTGCATCAAATGGCCTCTCAATATGGTGGGGAAGATTTTTAGCTCAGGTGGATGATTTTGATGGAGTTTTATTTTCTGAGCTGCATGGTTTGTTCGCGGAGTTTTCATCGTTCTTCTGAACGAAATCATCAGCACAAACTCTAGATTAGAAAACAGAACTTCATCAAAAAAGATCTTTCGATATCCATTATTTGACAACTATATGTTATAATAATTATCTGATTTCTTACTTTTGATCGGCATCAAAGAGGATAGATTCGTTTATGCGTTAATGATAGTTAATATTAATAGTTATTCAAAATAATATTGTTTCGTACTCTGAACACTATCATTTATAACTCCTTGAATAACATCTTCAAACCCTAATCTTTCCAATTACTGCTTATACTCTTATCACCTCTACCACTATGGGATTTTAATCGACAACTGCATCTCTATGCTAATGTGGTATGGCAACTCGAACTGATGTATGTACGTACGTACTGACTGATTTAGAGTCATACAATATGTAAATTCATGTTGTTTTGAAACTATGAATAACAATACTCAGTTGTTTTATTAATCAATCTTTTTTAAAATTTTACTTTACATTTTAAAGGAACGTAAAGGTGTATTATTACCCCATGAACAACTTTTACCTCGAGGTATTGAAGAGAAATTTCTTAGCTAAATTCTTTTTTTCATATTAACATTATTACTGTAAACAGTAGTTGTGTAACATTTTCCATAGATATTGCATTTATTTAAACTATTTTTATGTTACTATTCAAGAATGATGTGTAATTAGATGTGATTTCAAATTTGTTTTTTATTCTATATGAGGTATTCCATGTTGTTTTTTTTTGTAAATCCTTCTATTCATATTTTATTCCATCTGTTCTTTAATGTGATCTCAGATTTTGTCGAGCATAATGTCTATTTATTTTGTTTTAATAGTATGGTATAAAATATATGAAGATTCGAAATAATTTGTAATAGTTAATATTTTTGTTAGTAGTCATATAACTGCTAATGAAATTTATAATTGAAGGAAAGAAAACCACTTAATTAATAAGAAGATTTAAAAAAGTTTAAGGAATATTGTTTTCATTTTGAGTGAATTGTATTGATTTTTTTCACTTCCAGATTCTGTACTGAATAGTATAATGTTTAAGAAGGAACCCAGTTTAACGAATAAAATGTATTTAAGAGTAATTTTGATTTATTAAAGCGATATATTTGTATTTACTTAGTAAATATCAAGCTATAGCAAAATAGAAAGATGCAGGGTTATTAGCAAAAACATTTAATCACAATATAAATTATTTTAATGCGTTCAATAAAAAGTAGTAAGAAGTCGAAGATATATTATAGATAAGTAGTTCATGTCACCTATTCATTGTTTTTCATTCATTTAGTAGGTAACTATTTCTATTTCTCATCTCTAAGCTGTCTTGACTTAACTGTTCTCTATTACTGAATGGACTGGTACTGAAATTTCGGGATCGTCTTGTAAATAACACAACATCTACCTAATTATAGTTGAGTGTATGTCAAATTTCTAGGTTTAAAACTCTTGGGGTTCTGAATTCCTAGAATCACGGAATGTTTTGTATGGCTTTTATATATAACTTAAAATATGACCGTTTGGTTATAATGGTCGTAGTACATCATCTGAAACGTATCAGAACAAACATTATTACTGTGCGGTTTGTGCGTAATAGAATTGTAACAGTCAAGTGGTAAAAAAATTAGGGTTTCCAAGAAAGCAAGAAATGGTACTCTGTACTCCGAAGAATTGGTACTATTGAACTACAACGTGTTAATTAGATAAATGGCTAAGAAATAAACAGTTACCAATCAAAGAGAAAATAGTTTTCCTGTTGATATAATGGGAAGAAAAATCAATATTCAATTGATTTACTCAATATGAGTTTTATTCATCATTACATCCGTTTTGATTCAATGTAATGATTACTCAATGTAGTATTTATTTTCTTTTCTCGTATGATATTTTAATCTGTATAGTATACAATATTCTTATATTCCATTGACTATGAACTATACTCAGCATATAATTTGTTATAACTGAGTATTTTTCATGTATGTGATTTCATTCTAATTAATAATCAAAACGGTTGTACAATCAATATATAAACGAGTATATTTTCTACTAAACTCGCTCATTTTTCTGGTTGTGGCAGAATACACTTCTAATTTCAAGCTTGGACTTCTCCCTCTAGATAGCTGAGGCTGGGACGCGTCATAGCTAGCTTACTGGACCTTGATCACCGAATCTCCATCTCGTTCGCAGCCTTTAGTGAACTAGTGATAGCTTTCACACATAACATCTGTGAATCGTGGGCCAATTCCCTATCATCCATAATATATTGCTCTGTAACAGCTTAAGGCGTTTGACTGTTTCCCTACTTCTCTTATCTCTCTTACATTTTTAGCAGAACTCTTCTAGTAGAAGAGATAAGGTTTTATTAGCAGATTAAAACCCCAACAAGTCACATACATGGAGTAAGCGTCTAGAAAATGTGATAGATCGCCATCATGACAAGGATGTTTCAATAAACAAAGAGCAAATAACACGATCAGTCGGTATTTTGATTTTACTCATTAATATTAGTAGTAGGTTAGTACTGTGAATCATGTTACCGTATTTTTCTAAAAAAAAAACTTAATGTTTGAGCGTGGAATTTAAAAGATGTACTTAACCTAAATCTGTCTACGAATTTCCTCTGCACGTAGATGTTTCACTCAAATAGTGACTAAAAAAGGAGTCATTTCTCCAAAAATGGACTTTTCACCTAAATTCACGCCAAGTTTAGCTTTTTTCTTCATTTTTATTTGATTGTATTGTAACTCTATCCACAATAAATATATTAATTCAATCAGATGAGTGGTCAGAAATTTTAATAGCGATGTACGATTTTAACAAACGGGAAACATTATTTCTATACCCTAGAGATAGCATCATTCGGCTATGCAGTAACATTTATTTACCCAGTATCTGACTGCAATTAAATCATATTATGATTGCTATCGAAATAGGCATCCCGGCTACCCTTATATATATATATATATATATATATATATATATATATATATAAAAATCAAATAAGAGAATGGATTTCTAATACGTATGTTCCATACAATCGTTGATGCAGACAGACGACCAGAGGAACGAATCGTCGAAGGTATGTGAGCCAACTCAACTTAATCGAGCATGAATCGATATTTATAGGCAAATAAAAATAAGTTACAGATACATGATTAACAGGGCGAATAGTTGACTTATATGATCGTGTAAAAGCAGCCATTGTTGATAAGTGAAAAGATCAAAATGTAGCTTGAGAAGAATGAATAAATTGGTCTGTCCAGAAACTAGAATAGCCTATGTGGGCTTGACATAGTGCTAACCTCAACAAGCGATTAAAAATACAGTTACATAACATACCGCTCACCGAAATCAAGTTAGTGAGAAACTTCAGTAGCAAGAAAAACTAAAATCACTCATGCTAGTTTCATACAAACGAAAAAATATAGTGATCATACAAAAATGAAGGCACTGGATTTTTAGCTTTATATTTAAGGAGTGACGAGTTATCGTCACGTATGCATGGAAGGATTTTCACATATATTCAAACAAAAGCATGAAAAACAGATCTTAGAGTGGTCAAGTATAAATTGTCATTGGAATTTTTTCACAACATTCGAAGGAATGAAGCCAGATATTTTTCCAGACTTCTATAAAACAATACATAATCTGATACAAAAGAAATCTTGTCAGAAGTATTAAAAGGAATTATTTGCCCGAGCATGGAGTGTCAGCAATTTGTAAAGGTTATATTTGTCATATGAGCCTTCTCTTCTTTAGTCGAGAGATAGGGAAGGAACGAACTATCTGAAATTCCTACTCTTTGTTTTTAATGAGTATTCTAGCTTGTCTGTCGATTGATTACTCGACTTGACCAACACTAGTAATCTTCAGCACCAACTAGATAATCTTGTCCCCCACTGGCCAGACTTTATTATTTTATTTCAGCGATATAGTATGGTATTATTATAGTATGGTTATTATAAATAAACTACCAGATCACAACACACCCCAAATAAGAAATCAAAGTTTACGCACAAAGAAGACTAAAACGGAAGTAAACACGATTAAAGATGAATAATAATAATTTAGGACTAATAAGGATCATGACGACAATTAATGGATCCAGCGGAAGCTTACAGTAAGAAGTATATGAAACCATTCTAGCCCAGTTATTTATTAATTACACAATAAAAGCATAAACAATAAAAATTTGTTAAATATTCCGAAAACCTCCGATATACTCAATACTCGCCCATTTACGGCATTATATGTAAGTCAGGTTTCTTCAAACTTTTCCGTCTTTTGTTTTGGCGAATTATAGCGTCTGCATTCATGGTGGGTATTCCACATAAGAAATATTCGAAGTCATATGGATATTTGAAGGCTAGCATGGTTTTCAGGTGTTCGCATATTTAAGCAGTCTGTTAATGACGGAAAATCTGAAAACTTGTTGAAAACAGTATAAACTTTAATTTCTTTTTCTTTGTGTTGTAAATGTGGAACTATAATTGTGTATACAACATAAATCGGAGCCAAACAGCAATGATTTAGTCCAACGATTGGAAATAATAATTTCAAAATGACAACTCTGTTGACTTCTTTATCTTATCACGCAGATTTTACTGTAAATTTAGGGCACTAGATGAACAAGTAGATGAAAGACTGTAGAAACTAGTTTTCATCAAAGATAAGGGAAATGTGGTACATGCATTAAACGATAACAAGTAGTTGATTTGTGTATAATCGTTCTATTCCTCAGGTTATTATTTTGTATTTTCCGAAAACTTGAGAATTTATAGTTCATTTGGTGTAATCGGTACTATTAGTTACCCTGAAATTATAATTTTCGCACCATCCGGAACCGAATTTGTATCGGAAATCATACAAAACAGAATATGTACGTAGCTTAATGCGCAGATGCCCATTAATTACGCTCTCAAAACCTTTCTTCAACCTGACAGAGCAACGAAACCGGTATATGTTGTCTTTGAAAACAAGCAAATAATTTCAGGTTAATTAAAAGATAACTGGTGAACCATCCATGGTCTTAAAGAGAAACACAGTGAACTGATGTTTGAGAGCACGCTATTTGCCACGACGTCATCTAACTAATTAGGACCAACTAAATACTTTCCCATCGAAAAATAGCCCAGTCCATCCCCCGGTGACTGAGTTACTGTTGGACTTTCGAAATCAAGGATACATAAGTGCCTGAACCCAGAGGGGTTCAGACGTTTAAATGTAAGGAATGGGCTAAAATGTGTTGTTACACTTTTGCTATCCTCTTCAAGTTCTCAGTCTTTGATGGCGAATAACCCGCTGACTGAAAAAGCATAGCTCCACACGTACGTACAGTAGGGGAAACAAGATGGAAGTCTCCGAGTTCATAGAAATTATCTCACTCTCCACTCCTTCTAAGGTCATAGAAATAGTTATAATCAAGTCTCAGCAATAATATATATCCGGGCAACTTTCAATGATGACATGGAATTCTTCGTCGTATGCTATATCCTACATTTTATTTACCGTTTTAAATATTTGAACATTTATTGGAACATAGTCTTCCCGTTCAGTTAGTTTCC